GGCTCCCTGTAAAATTCAGAATAAAATTTAAAATCCTTCTCCTAACATACAAAGCCCTTAATGACAAGGCTCCATCGTATCTTAAAGACCTCGTAGAGCCTTATCATCCTAACAGAGCACTTCGCTCTCAGAGTGCAGGTTTACTTGTGGTTTCACACTTTTAACTACACCTCTTCTCGTCTTCTGTTTGCCAGTCAGATTTTGAAGAGGAAGAGTTGGGGGGTGCAGGATGAAGCGTGAAACTTTTCATGGACATGATAAGTATCGGTTTATCAAATGTTGATGTTATGCAGATATCTGCTCACAAGTTGACTGAGTTTTTAAACATTATTCCATTACGTCAGACATTTGATTATTTTAGACAGAATGGAGGATGGAAGACAGAAGGAATGGAGACAGAAGATTTGGACCAAAAGAAGAGGTTTCTTTTTTTTTAAATGGATTTAATTTTGTGTTTCTCAGAAGACAGAAGATTTGGACCAAAAGAAGATGTTTCTTTTTTTAAGATGAATCTAATTTTGTGTTTCTCAGAAGACAGAAGATTTGGACCAAAAGAAGATGTTTCTTTTTTTAAGATGAATTTAATTTTGTGTTTTTCAGAAGACAGAAGATTTTGACCAAAAGAAGATGTTTCTTTTTTTAAGATGAATCTAATTTTGTGTTTCTCAGAAGACAGAAGATTTGGACCAAATGAAGAAATGCTCAAAGTACTTCTTCCACCAGCTGCCTGTAAGAATGACTCATGCTTCTATGGAGACTGCGTAGAAACAATCAACAGCCACAGGTGTGCCTGCTTTGAAGGCTTTTACGGAGAGAAGTGTGACCAAGGTAAGAAAATACAATGACATTGTACTTGAAGTTGACGTTTGAGTAACTTACTACCGGGACATGGTATCTAATTCTAACTTGTTTTCTTTGTTGGCAGTTGTTCAGTGTAACAAGGAGGAGGTGACTGTCCCATATAAAGGACGTGTAAATTGCACTCATACCTATGGGGACTTCTCCTATGACTCCTTATGTGAGTATTCCTGTGAAGAAGGATACCAGCTGAGTACACCAAGACCCCTGAGATGCACCGCCTCGAAAAGGTGGTCAGAGCAGCCTCCTTCATGTGAACGTGAGTTGAGGTGTACTGCAAGTTGCAAAATACATATTAATGAAATAATGTGATATAGTATTATTGTGATTTCAAGTAGCCATATTCATAGCATCTGTATTTTATTATCAACGTGATGGAACTTGCTGTAATGTGTTTTTTGATTGTCCTATTGTCCACAGTGGTTCAGTGGATGTTTTCTTGTGTGACACCTTGGTAATGAGATACCTTTTTACAGGCAATCAGTTTGGACTGTACCAGCTGATATTGATTTCTACTGACAGGGGGCAGGATTTCTTTTTAATTACTGATAGATTTCAGTGGGTGTCTTGGCTTTCCATACCTTTTTGCACTTCTTTCTTCATGTGTTCAATACTTTTACAAATGACTAAAACCAAATGATGGTTTGAAGTTTTATTATGAAAAACATCAACACTGCTTTAAACAAACACACCACTTTTACATGAACATTAACTGCATTAACCATTCATTAAATAAATAGTACATAAATATCAAATCAATATAGCAAAATTATTCACAGTTCAGTAATGACATGGCAATTCACACACAATGTTGTGTAACATTTACAATAACACAAATAGAGCAACATTTCCTGGACCTTTACAAAACCGTTGAACAATATGTTCAATTAAAAAAAAAACCCTTGGGAGGAAGTACACATGTGAAAACATTGCAGAGCATGTCATGAATTTGCTTTATAAAGTCAACAAAATATGACACAACCTGTAATTGTGGAGGTCAAAAGAAAACATTTGACCAAATCTCACCATTGATAACTCTGACATAATGAGTTTTCCTCTTAACAATGTGTATAATTGTTCATATCACTATCACTGTTGACTCTCTTACAGCTGTGTTAGATATATACAACTGTCCTTAATTTTCTAGATGAGGCTGTCAATGCTGCTTTTGTAGACTTCTGCAGGGGCCTCTATGTCAGAGTTGTTGTATGAAAAGACAGAAAAAGATGAGCATTGCAATTCAACAATTTTTAAAATGTATGATTTAAGAAAGGTGAATGCTTATCTAACCTGTTCAGCTCAAACTGTGTTGCTTTCTGCTTCAGTCGTTTCAGGATCGACCTAGTAGCAATAGAGAGACTGGATAACAGAATGACCCCTGCTGCCACACCTGAGGCAATGGTAACAACCTGAGACGGGGCAGCTGTGGAAACAATGTCAAATGTGAATTATTTGACCTTTTAAACTGAAATTTGTAGTTGAATTTTGTATTGTATTTATTTGTGTTTTTTAAAACAATTGTTCCCTTTCTTTGTTTTACCTTGGCAGGTGGGTATCTCTCCAGTCCAGTTGCCGTGACGATCACAGGTCAGCAACTCATTGTCAGGTTTGCTCGGCTACACCTGCCTTCTCTCACTTTTTCTGTCTTAGCTCACTACACCTCACAACTGCCACCTGTTTCCTTAATTATCACCAGCTGCATTCACTCATACCCGGCTCACTTTTTACTCCCTGCCAGTTTGTTCATGTTCTCAGGCCGTCTCTTGTCTCCCATTGTGATTATTATTTGTTACTCTATTTTACTGTTTCCAGTTCCCTGTTGTTTTTGCCCAGGATTACCATGCTTTTCTCCTCCTCTAGCTAGTACCTCTTTTTCTCCTTCTTGGACAGTTTTTTTCTTTTTCCTCCGAACCCTGGTTCTACTCTACCCTCCCACACAGGTCAATGCACAGTCACCAGTTGTCTGCCATACCAACTCCTCTCTGCTTATGTTTTACCAGTAGCTACCACCAACGATCAACCAGCCCAGGAGTGATCCCGCGATGCAGCTCGGCCCACCTCAGTCAACTCATCATCCCTCTACTCCTGCTGCTGGTCGACACTGCGGTTACTCCATTCCATTATCCTCCACTTACTTGTTATCACTATACTGCACTGTGTATAATTAAATCACTGCTTGCACTGAAGTCGGCTACCTGGGTCCGCCTCACTTTTTCCACTCCCTCACTTCTGTGTGTGAGCGTATTCTAACACTCATGCCCATCTAATGAGTAATCTTGATTGCAA